TCTCTTGTGCCAAGGTTTATTACAGTGCTAGCAAAGTCTCTCAAACCTCTCTGAAAGCTGCCCTTTTCTGGCGATGAATCCTGATGATGGTACCAACCTTGGTACCTCTATGCTGGACTTAACATAGGATTCAAATTCAAGAGCTCTGGCCATTGCATCCTGCATAGTAGAGGGGTGTACTTGCTTTACTTGTATCTTCAGTTGTGGACTGTCCAAGGCATCTACGAACTGATCCCTCAGCAACAACTTGAGGAGATCAGGTGGCGCAGTTGGGTAGGCCTTGTGTGCCATACTTTCCAAATCCTGTGCCAGCTCTTGCAGGCTCTCCCCTTTAGCATGGACTCTCGTCCTAAACCTAGCCCTGTAGACTTCAGACTGATTTTGGGTTCTGTACCTGAGTTCTAGAACTGCTACCAGTGCTCTATAGTTGCGCCTGTCGTCTGCTGACAACTTTGCAAGTATTTACAGTGGTTGTCCCTTCAAGCTCATTGCTAAATATAGTGCTTTCTGCTCCTCTGTCCATCCATTCATCTCTGCCAAGAGCTCAAATTGTGCTCTATATGCTTCCCACGGTGCCTTTCCATCGAATTCCTGTGGCTTTCTTTGTACTAGATCACCCGTATTGCTGACATTCATATCTGGGATGTGACTTCTAACTGGACTGAAGATGTCTGCATTAGGGTTTAGCTGCGGGGTCTGGAAGGGGCTTCCAGTTGTCTGAGGCTGATTAGGTTGATGGCTAATATATCATCCTTGTGTAAAAGACAGTAAATCATTCTTTTATGTATTTAATTCTCTGAATTGTTGGACAAGATATAACAGTATGGTTCTGTGAAGAATTGTAAGTCGGCAGTTATCATAGTATGGTTCTGTGAAGAGTCGTAAGTGGAGAGATATAACAGAACATTTGTGTTAAGAATTGTAATTTGACAGATGTCACAGTATGGTTCTGTGAAGAATTGTATGTCGACAGTTGTAACAGTATGGTTCAGTGTTGAAATGTAAGTGGACAGATATAACACTATATTTCAGTGTAGAATTGTAAGTGTACAGATGTAACAGTATGGTTCTGAGAAGAATTGTAAGTGGCAGATATAACAGTATGGTTCCGAGAAGAACTGTAAGGGCACAGATATAACAGTATGGTTCAGAGAAGAATTGTAAGGGGACAGATATAACAGTATGTTTCTGTGAAGAATTGTAAGTGGACAGATATAACAGTTTGGTTCTGTGAAGAACTGTTAGTTGACAGATATAACAGTATGTTTCTGTGGAGAATTGTAAGAGGAAAGATATAGCAGGTCAGATAATGAGCATCAAAAGTCAGGACAATAAACCTTGGGGCCATGCTGAGTCTCTCTGAGCCAAGAGGCAAACTGCCAGGAAACTGTGTATAGAAGAGGAGCCTAATGTCATACAGAGCTGATAGATAAACCACCAACACCTTCTTGTTTATTTTCTTTCTCTTCCATCCACTGCTGTAGTCTCTCTTATTGTTTATTTTCTTTCTTCTCTAACAGCTGTTGTAATGTCTGTTTTTGTTTTGTTTCTCGTTCTTCTTGTTTATTTTCTTTTTCCTCCAACAACTGCTGTAATCACTCTTGTTTATTTTGCTGTCTGACCTGCCACTGTTGTGGGTTTTTTGTCACTGCTGTAATATCTCTTCTTGTTTCTTTTCTCATTCTTCTTAATTCTTTTCTTTTTCCTCCTACAACTGCTGTAATCTCTCTTGTTTATTTTGCTGTTCGACCTGCCACTGTTGCAGGTTTTCTTGCAACTGCTGTTGTCTCTATTCTTCTTTCTTTTCTTTTTCCTCCAACCACTGCTGTAATCTCTCTTCTTCTTTCTTTTCTTTTTCCTCCAACCACTGCTGTAATCTCTCTTCTTGTTTCTTTTGCTGTTCTTGTATTGCTGCCATCAAATCTGCTAAGCTGTAGTTTGATTTGCCGTTTCCATCTTCTTCTTTTTTTTTTCGTCCCGCTCTCTGACACCAATTTGTTACGTCTGTGGTTGTTAGTTAATCACTCGTAAAAATTCTTTCCGGAGAACTTCAGCGATACAAGACCTTTCTCAAATAAAACTAGCTTATTCTATCTCACTACAACTTTGTAATACACTTAATTTCCACAGTCACTTAAACACACACTATAATTCTCAACGAACGATTCATGCACTTTACTTACTACCTCGCTTGACTCAATTGTCTGTCTATATCTTTAATCTCTCTGTCTGCTATTCCATTGTTGCTGTCACATTATTTACTGTCTTATATACTATAAGAGTGCCATTCTAGCAACTGCTAGGATGTTCAACAAGTTCATCGATCTTTGTAGATACTCATTACGTGTTACCAGCGTCACATGGCCTCCACTGTCGTAACAGTATCCTATCTCTTAAAGAAACCTGTTACTAGAACCAACTAGTCTACTCATTTTTACAATTTGATGTAATTGTTGTAAACTAGAATGTTTCATTCACCTTTTTCTGAATACTATTGTTACACTAATCCAATTAAAACAACAATGAACAATCATTGTATTGAATAACCGGTATATTAGTGACTTGCACAAAAATGTTTCACTTTCCCAAGCAATACTGGACTAACTTACACAGTTTTTTTAGGCTACACACTCAAGTTGGTTCTCTAACATCAGACTCTTGGTTAACTCACTGAATGGACTATAAGACTCCCAGAAACTTCACTTACTATCCTGTATATATTTGACTTAAACAAAACTGATTCCACACAAGACTGAAAAATAATTGATTACATAAGATTTCACCAAAGTTGCTAACAAATACCATTTTCCTCAATTTTTTTATTTTTTTTTACCAAATAACACTGAATGGATACAATGCTGTCTTTCCAAGATCAGTTATAAGATAGATAATTCTGATACAAAATCTTTCAATAAACAGTAATATATTTCAGACACATGTAAAACCAAAACATTATTTTTAATTGTTCACAACACTGTAGAGACATTGAATGCTTTGTCAAAACATTTGCAGATGTCCAGATTAATATTGTTACATATCTGGTTGTTTGTTAATTTCCCGTATAATTTCTTTCAGATGAAACTTTAGCAACACAAATCCTTTCTTAAATAAAACTAGTTTATTCTTTCTCAATACAACTTTGCAATACACTTAATTTCCACAGTCACTTTTACTTAAACACATGCTATAATTCACAACGATTCACGCACTTTACTTATGGCTTGACTCGATTATCTGTCTGTATCTCCCTGTCTGTTTTTATTTTTTTTCATTTGATATCTATCTATAGATGGAGAACAAAACAACTGGTGGTTCTGTTTCCAAGTCTCATCACCACAGTGGTGCAAACAACATTCACACTAAAACTTTCACACCAAGAGAGTATCAGGTAAAATAAACTTAGGTCTCAGGTGCCCATTGAATGGTGATTGTATGTTTGTATGAAATAATTGAAATTTGGTGGCTGCAAAATAAGAAACTTTAAAACCTGTACACTGACTTATCTTACCTAAGTTCAAAAGAGTAATTATAAGTATATTCATTAAGGAACACAAAGTTTAAAGTTTTGCATGGTAATTTAATGATAAACAATCTTTTTCCTAAAATGTGAAGAGGATTTGAAGGGACATGATTAGATAAACTAACTAAAACATTTACACATATGTGAATGAAGAAAATAACTTGTTACAAAGTTTTATCACATTTATTTTGTAAAATTAAAGAAAATTATTATTATGTTAATATTTATGTATTTTTTTTAATAATGTTGTAGATGATGTTGGTAACAATTGTTATAATTTTAAATAAAATTGCCCAAATTATTTCCTTTACATACACTGTCTTGTGAAGTATTTTATTTGAATTATATAATTCATGTATAATATGGAAAGCATCTTCTACATTTTACTGAAGTTGAAATACCAGTAATTAAAATAACATACCTTACAGTGCTACACACTGTTTATTTTGGATTTTTTTTAAATTTATACAAAAAATTTAAAACCATTAAGAAGCACAAACAAAAAAGAAAAAGATATCAAATCCACAACAAAAAAAAACAAATTGTTTTTAAATTTTTGTATCAGTCTTTCATAAAACTGATTATGTGGAACAATGCTTTTTGTGAAAAAATCTAACATACACCTAATTCATACTTTTAATTAGATCACTTGTTCCACGAAAGAATCTAACAATTAGTACCATCTTGCACTGCATTTGAAATGCAGAGGTGTACAGTAATTTTATCATGAATTTAAAGATAATTTAAAAAGAGACCCATTTCACATAAATGTTTTTTCAACAAGAAAGCACCTCACACTTGGTGACTCAGACGTAAGTCTTAAGAGTTAATAACTCTAAAAATTGGGTTTAAATACCCAAGGTGGGTAGAGTACAGGTAGCCTCTTGTATAGCTTATTGATTAAGAACAAACAAACAAAAAAGCAACAAGAAAATCAGGATTGTTAAAAAAAAGTTTAGATATTGCTGATTCTGGAAAGTATAAAATAACCCCCTTTTTTATTTGGAGGGGGGGGTGTAGTGCTACTTTAACAGTGGTGTTAACTCCTGTTTCATTTCCTATATAGGTATTTCAATTTATCCTGAAAAATTAGACTAAACTGGAAGTAAACAAACTTTTAAGTGTAGTAACTTAACAATAATTTTTTTGTATAGCTGGTTTGTCCTGCATTAATTATCATAGAAAATATTCAACCTTTTCAACTTTATTTCATACCCCAGTTGTTGTACTGTTCAAGTCAATAGAACATTTTGATAAAATAAAATAAATACTTGTTTGTTATTACTGTAATTTTACAATCTTACTGGTTATTTTTATATCACCTTATAACCCTTTGCATATTTTAGTGTTTTATACAGTATCAACTTCATACTTCATTGAAAACACTTTGTTAATGATGTTAATCACATGATTAAATAAATGTGAGATGTAGAATTGCATTAAATTTTGGTGGACTGTATTTTTAAAATGTGTTTATTAAGAGCTTTCAACAATAAGTATAAAAAGTTGTTAGTACATAATTATCTTTTTTTTTTAAGGTGGAACTTCTTGAATCAGCTCTTAAAAGAAACACTATTGCCTGTTTGGGAACAGGAACAGGTAAAACATTCATAGCATTAATGTTGATTAAAGAACTTGCTCATGAATTGAGAAAACCATATGAAGAGGATGGGAAAAGAACAATTTTTTTAGTGCCTACAGGTAAGTTATCTATAATAAAGAAATATTCGATCTATAAACAGGAACCTTCATTTGTAAAATGGTGTAACATGAGTGTATTTAAAATAATGTCTGTATGTGTACACACACACACTATGCAAATATGTATCTGGTTTGAAGTTCTTCTTTAATAATTCATGATATTTAAAACAAATTATACAACATTACAATATAACATAATTAGTGCAACTACCTCTAGTGTGCATCAAACACTTTGATTTGTTTGAAGCTCATAAACAAGTATTTTGCCAGACTCACCATGTATGTTTTTGTTAGTTATTATAGTACAAGCCAGGCAATAAAACTATAGAATTAAAAGAAAATAGATGTGAAAAGGTTAAAAGTTGAAATTGTGGATGTCATTAATTAAAGATGTGACAATAAATGATTTCTTGAAAGAAGAAAAACAAATATTACGCATTGTATCTCATAATTTTTAGATCTTTATTTCGCTCTACATTGATGATTTAGCTAAAATTAGTGTTAGAGTATTAAAAACAATAGATGAAATATAAAGTTTTACCTTAAATACTTTCAATATTCATTTGGGAGGTTTTATAGGTTTTGGAAATTAAATATGAAAAGAAAATCACCTTGCATTTATGTTGACTGTAAAGGCTTTGGAAATTTGCAGACAAATCTTTAGAATAAATACTTTATTAAAAATTATGGTTTTTGTATACAACAAACATAATTTTTACAAAAACCTTATCAAATTTCTTAAAGATACACTTAGTATATTCAGAGTTCCACAATGTATAGCTTCATGGTTTTACAGGGTCAGTCAAATTGACTTGTTGGCATAGGGATAATGAAAGACATACAAACTACATAGTTAAAACACAATGCAGAAAAATCCAATCTTAACATAAATCAAAGTGTAACCAATTAAAATACAATAAAAATTTCATAATAAACACTTTGAAGTAATCCCTTTTTTTGTTTTTTAACAACTTCAAAACATAGAATAACAAAATCAGCCCATTAAACAAAAGCCTCTTATTTAAAATATATCAAAATAACTATTCTTATATACATATAAAAGGAAACATTCTATTAAAATATCGACATATATACATTGAGAAAAAAAAAGTTCACGTTATACATATATATTTACATTGGGAAGGGGCTCTTCATCTTCCTGACAACACAGCTTCCCATAACCCCCCTAATGTCGGTGTACCTTGAGCTCAATGTCCAGTCCCTGCTTTATCAATTGAGTAATTAGGTAGCTGAATATTTTGGCTAGTTTCTTCAGCCAATCTGGCATCTCCTCATGATGGTCTTTAGTCTTTTTGATAGTCCATTAAGCAGTGAAAAATACTTTGAGAATACTCAGCAATAAAGAATGAAAAAAAAAAAAAAAAACACTGCCTGATTCAAGAACAAAGTAGACAGCAGTATCCAGAATTTGATCCTTCATACAAATGTGTAGATTCCAGTGAAGCACATACAAATTCTACTGGTTAAAAAATTCAGTTAAGTGTGTAGGTTA